TATTTAGATTTGCCTCAAACCGATTCTGCTCAAGTTAAACTTGATATTAAAGTAACAATTAAACAAATACGATAATCGGAGAAATCGTAGACAAAGCGAAATTGCATAACACAAAAATGCCAAATGATAAATTCAGACATTAATCATGCCGAAATCAATAATTTATCAAATTGACAGAATAGGAATAATAATAATGGTTGTAAAAAAATTTTTTTTAAAAAAAAAATTAAAATCTGGGTCGGCGGGTCATGAGAGGTCAGCCAGTGATATGAAAACTGAAAATATAAGTTTGTATAGCCTTAATTGATTGTTTTTCTTATGAGAATAGATTTTTCTTAATTCCCAGTAATAGTGAGATCCGGCTTCGATAGATACAAGAAGAGATTCGGCTATTTTACAATAAGTAACTTCTTTGTCACTCTTTTGATTTTCGCTAGACACATTATTGACAAAATCTTCATCAAACTTTAAAATTCTTGAAAAATGTACACAGCTATATTCTTCACTTTTAAAACAGTTAGCTATTAAGATTTCCATATCTGTTAAGCTAAACCAAGCTATGTCTTCATATTTATCATTAACGTAATTTTCAGTTATGTTCAAACTTTCTATACTCGTTGGTTCACTAATAGCTTTAGGCTTTTTTTCCTTTTTAGTTTTTGCACATTTATTGCAGTTGGAACCTTCTTTTATTTGACTTCCAATTTGTCGAGTAAATTTGTTAAGATTTTTATATTTATCGCAACGAGAGCATCTTTTTCTGCAGTTAGAAGAGGCTATGATATTTTTAATTTATTAAGATTATTAAAGTAAAGAAAGGGTTGTGATAATACTGTTCAATAGTATAACTATTGAATTAAAAATATTAAAATTAGATAAGAAATTTTACTGAATAATTATATAGTATGGCGATTGCGAAGCTGAGTAGTTATTGGAATGTAGAAATAAGAAAATGAATTGTATAAAGATGACCAGATAACATAGCAGAGATGAGTAGTTATTGGAATATAGAAATAAGAAAATGAATTGTATGAAGATGGCCAGATAACGTAGCAGAGATGAGTAGTTAAATAATATAGAAATAAGAAGATTAATTGTATGAAGATGGCCAGATAACGTAGCAGAGATGAGTAGTTAAAAAATATAGAAATTCTTGAAGTAAGAAAATAACTGACTAGATAGAGTACTGATAGCAAAGTAGTTATTTAGGTATGAAAATGAGGAGATAACTAGATAGTGTAGCGATAGCAAATACAAGTAGTTATTAAACGTATAGGCACAATTGGTGTGAAATAGCTAGATAATTCAGCAACAACAAGATGTGAATATAGTGATAGTAAATATGAGCAGTTTTAGATATAGAAATATAAGGAATTGTAATGGGACTAAATAGTATACAATGGCAAGATATTGGCAGTTCAAATATAATAAAATATTTTAATTTAATAGGCTTTAATTTCAATTTAGAGAAGGGATACAATATGATTAAATTCTTTCGTCTTTTTATATTAAAGCAAAAATATCATCAAATAATTCTTTAATTGTTGCATTAAATTTTACATTTAATTACTCATTTAATTTACAAAATATTAATTAGTGTTATATCTAATATATGTAATATTAATATATTTTGAAATTTGTTTCAAATTTACACAATTCTAAATATACTTTATTAAGATTTAATTTCGCAAATATTATTTAATTTCAAAGATATGTTAATTTTTGCTATATATTTAATTTCGAAGACATTAATTTTCTATTAAATATCGAAAATTAATTTTTGCAATATATTTAATTTCGAAGATATTAATTTTATCTATAAATTAGTTTAATTTCAAAGATATTAAATTTAATAATTTTGAGATTGTAAATTCGAAGATATATCACTATAATTTATCAACCCATAACATCAATTTTGTGATACCACCCATTCACCATAGTAGTCTTCTGGACTCCCATTAGCCTGATTTATCTCAGAGATCACGTTGCCGCCAATTTTTTGCGCTATCACTATGCTATCCTTTTTCAAAACAGTACTGCCCTAATTGTTTATATAGACAACTGTCATTCTATTGTCTGATTCTAACCTTACATTTGTCAAGTTTAGTACTAGAAATGATTTTATTGCTTTTTTTACTGTCAGAATCTCTAGTTGATTTATATGAAGGTTCATCTCAGTCCAATTTCATCTGCTATAAATCATTTGATTGTTCAAAACTGTTTCTAACTCTGACAGGATGCGTCTATTTCAGAGTTACATTTGGTTCTTGTTAGGATATTACATATTCATTCCAATTTAAAAGTTCTTGATACTACCACCTTAGTTGAGCAATACTTTCTGGAGAAAGGTGTATAGTCAAATTCTAATCTTCTTAAGCTAGTGCCTGGTTTTTGTTTCTGAGAAGAGACTTTAAGTAAAGTTTTTTTGAAAATATTGCATTTGTATATACTAAAAGTTTTTCCAAGATGGCTGCTAACTTTCGAATATGCACTGTCTTCATGTTTGACATTTTTAAGCACTATTCTAGAAATCTAAATTTTTTGTAAGAGTTAGATATAACTTTTCTGAGTTTATTACAAAGTCTATTCTCTTCAATATTTGAACTATCTTTTGAATATAAGCTAGCACTTTCTGAGAATAAGCTATAATCAAAATATTGTTTAGATAAATTATTAATCGAATGTACTGGGCTCTTATCTATTTTGCTACTAGCCATTACATTTTTGTAAAGATCCTCAGACTCAAGGTCTATCCAAAAAGAAGAGCTTTGAAGGTATAACAATGATTTCCAAAATCAAAGGTTAAGTATTTTGAAAATTTTTCTACTATTAGTATATAAGCAAAAGCATCTTTGATATCTATTTTCATTAAAAATTATTTTTTTGCAAAGAATCTTTTACCAAGTCTATACTCTCCATCTTGAAGTAATAGAATTTTATATAATTATTTAGCAGGCAAAGATTGATAACTGGACAAAGTTTCTCAAAGCTTTTTAGGACACAAAAAAAAGTTTTGAAATAAAATATAAAAGGCTTTTGTCGAACTTTATAATAATTTCTTTTCCAGAAGTCTGCCTATTTCTATAGCCATAGTTTGAAATGTTTCTTTTGATAAAACATCCTTTGTAATAGAGTAAACTTTTAATGCAGGTAAAGTATCTTAGATAAAATAGTAACCAAAATCTAGTAGATTTGTTATTTAAGAATCTCTAAAAAAACTCTGTCTTTTAAAAAACTCCCAATCTTCTGCCAAACCTTAGATTTGATTTTTGGGCTAAGACTAACCTCTTGTGAGAAATTGCTCTGAAAATTCTGCCTGTAACTTAAGACTTTGAACTCTCTACAATATCTTTTTTCTTTACTTCTGTTTCTGTTGTTAGCATAAAAATTTTTGTTTGTTTTTTGGCTGCCTTTTTGATTAAGTTGATCTGATTTTCTTTTTTGCTATGCTGAATTATTGAAGAATTTTGAGATTTCATTTTCTTTTTTAATATAATTAGCAAGTTTTTTGCCAAACAACTCATTATGTTCGGCCTTGGGTTGATGAGAAGGAATAATAGCTTTGATCACCAAGTCTCTTCTAACCTGAATAATATAAGACATCATGTTTAGCAATAATGATCTAGTTGTTAGATAGACTGTTTCAACAGCTCCCAAACCTCTAGGGCTTTCTTTTTATCATCTGAAGGTTTTGTGTTATAGAGAGTTTTAAGAATATAATCCAATAGTCTAAAAGCTGCCAATGCATAGTAAGATATTTTTGAAAGTACTTTGTTGATAGTTTTTGCCTCCTTTAAAAGCTTTTGGAACAGTATGAATTTGATCTGTTAATTCCATAGGATATTTGAAGTAACTTTCATCTTTTATTAAGAGATAACTTATTATTCTTAAACGCATTAACTAGAAAGGATACCTACCATATTCTTATCTTGAAGGTCTTTATTATTGGAAAAAAAGCTCTGTCTGTGTAGATATCATCTTTGTGTGAAGCCTCATTGTTTGCTACAGGATTTCATTCAATAGTTATTGCATTATCTTTAGAAAGCATGCATTGAAATATATTTTACTTATTTATTTATTTTTTAAGAAATGTATCTTTAATTATTACATATGGGCGGATTTGTGAAATACCCTAAAATTTAGGTAGTACAAATGTCGATCATATAATGACCGTCATTTCATTTGATATTCATTTTGATTGGCTAATTAATTAGCGTTAGTAATAATGTATTATTAGTGCTCTCCATATATAAAGATGAAAAATATACTGTGCATATGATTTTAAAGTTTGACTTGCGCTAATAAAAAATTTTTTAAATTTATAACACTGCTAATTAGTATTGCAAAAAACATTATATACTTGATTTTTAAATTTTAATAAATAGTATTTTGCATTTAGAATTAACTTTTCACGAAGCAGATTTGATTAAAAATTTTTGCTTAGAAATTTCATAGGTAGTTTACTCTGATTTTTACAGGTTTAAAATGTTCGTGTAGAACTTCAATAGGCAACTTTACTAAGTTCTGTTTGGTTTACAATTCATATAGGTCAAATGGGTGGCTTTACTAAGTCTCAGGATTTCCGCAATTATCATTTGGGTAGCTTTTATAAGGGTACTGTTTTTTTATAATTCAAATCATTCGGGTAGGCAGAAAGGTTTTTTTTTAAGCGATTCTCTTCACAACTCAGATTGCTCAATAAACAACTTTACTAAGTATAATTTATTTATAGTTTGTATAGATTTAATAAGTTGTTTTACCAATTCTTGAGATTCACAATTCCGATCATCAGGGTTTTTTAAAGTCCATTTTTTCGCCACTTGACCAACATGTTACTTAATTCCTCAAGATTAAATTTGCTACATTGAATCTAAATTTTCACTTACTGGTTTCATTCTACAGTACTCAGATTTTTGTTTGTTAACGCAGTGTAAGGTACCCTTTGGATTAATACCACATACATTTCAAAATTATTTGTGGTGTTTTGTAAAATGTACTGATGGCTGATTTAACAATAAAAAAAATTTTTTTCTAATGGGTAAATACCGGGGGTATAAGTCATGCGAAATATAAAATACCTGGATACAGCGTTTACGGTATTAAATTTGGATATTTTAATTTGTCATTTGGTAGGCGGTTTTGATTCTTAATAATTCAGATCAGTTGGGCGCTTTTCGTAAGTCAACAATCGGGGCTTCCAAAATTTAAATTATAAATTTTTAAACTTTTAATATGTATATTTTAATTAGTTATATAAATAAATTACAAATATTATCTACAATGACAAGCTTTTTAAATATATCATTGATTTCCCAAGCTTTTGTTATAATTAGCTAAATCAATTCACCAAGCTTGTTTCTTATTCGATAGCCCACGTAAGGATGAATTAAAAAGAAACCTTCCTAAGTGCGCCATCTCTAAATGTACGATCATTCTAAATGCACTCCCAAATTCTGATATGTACTTGACCTCTACAGACACTTTTTTTTTATCGTTCACTAAATGCAC